ATACTAATAATCAGCACGAATGTTGAGTCCAATATTGACCCAGCGTTGGAGTCAGTGTTTGGAGCCGGCATAATCGGTACACAGTTCGGACCAACGCCGTTGGCTCCAATATGTGGAGCCGGCGTAATGAAAATAACATTAATTAGTAAAAAAAAGTATATGACATTGCCGTTTCTAAATTTTTTGGGGGATCGCTATCTGGCCTCTCACATGACATCTAAAAGGGGTTTCATAAAACGCTATGGTCTGTCATAGACGGGGCAGAGTAGGGTTCAAAATATCGTCAGGAGTTTTATGGGTGGCCCCTATTCGACAACTTGTCTATGTTTACGTATTGAGCTTTTGTCTCTTAACTGATAGGAGGGTGGTAAAAAATTTTGTTTTATTTATTTATCAGAATATTTGAATAGATTATGGAGATGTACCTCTTGCATATCCTAATTAGGTTCCTAGTTATGTCATGTTAACTCTACTGTACGTATATCATAGATATCTTAAGTGGCTAGATATGAAATGAAAGCACTGTATGTTAATGTAGAGAATAACACTTGGAACTGCGAGAGATAAGGAATTCGCTTTACTCAAGCAACCCGATGAGAGGCTCGTTAATAAAAAACCCGAATTGTGAGAGACGAGGGGATGTACAATAATGAAGCACTCCCGGTCCTGAAGTATGGAACTTAGAAGGAGAATTAAAAAAAAAACAGTTGATAAATTGGTGGGTAGTTTGATTCATGCCAGTTAGCTAAAGCGGCCTATGTAATTAGATCTATTAATCACTTTCTATCTATTCTTGGTTCGAATTTTATTTCCCGTGGATGCAATGTCGGAGAGAATGATTATGCGTCTATGTTTTTTTCAAAACGTAGTTCCCCTCCGCACAGCTTCTACTTTACAATTTGGGGATTCTCTAATTTATGTGGTGTGCGTTTTTAAATACTACTTTGTATTCTTATTTGTATTACTGTTCTCCCAGACAGAGACCGTACGCGATGTAAGAGAGAGGAAGCATAAAAAATGCACCGCCTGTTTGTGTCAAAAATAAGCAAGATATAATCATCTCATTCCTATTGAATATTTCTGCCGACCGGCCTTTTCCTGGGTGAACAATACATAAGAATAAAAATAGGTTTTTGTTAAAAATTCACAAAAGTATATGAGACATTTTTTAGAAAGATTCTTTAGAATTTGCTTAATTAATGTTAGCTGAGTATAATTGGGAGCAACTTGGTTTTAAATGTTGTAACTACATTTGGAATAGTCTTTGGACGAATTTCAATAGCAACTTTTTTCTCCCTTTGATGAATTGAGTCCCGAATATCTGTCGAATATATTTCGAACATCCTGTACAATTTTAACTTTCTATTTCATGTAATTTTTCTAAACTATTTTAATATTTGACACAATTTTATGACAATAAACTAAGAATTACAATAGGTATAAAAATATGTATGCTTTATTATACCATTTATGTGAACTGAATACATTTTTCATCATTTTTTAGCCACTCAATTTATATGATATGATACATATTATGTGGTGACTTTGAACTTAGCGGTGTTCGAACTTGGCCTCTTTATCCATCTAAGAAGAATAAAATGTGAGGGGAAAGTGTTCCGCATGCTGCAATTTCCCTTTCCTTTACCACTGTTTAATTTCTGCACGCGTAACTCCGAAATGAAACAGTCTCTCTCATACGAGTACATTTCTATCGTTACTTCCTTTCCATTAGGTACCATCTAAAAATTATTCATTTTCATTAGTTTTAAACGTCTTAGAAAACTAAGGTAATGTCATACACCGTCGTCTTATACAGAGTGTCCAGAAAGTAACACAAAGCTACACCACTTTATTATACAGTGAAAGAAAGAATGATTTGACCATTTTTAAAATACTAGTTACTCCAAATACAGAAATAAAGTTAAGAGCATCTTAAAGAGTAGTAATGTTAGTGATGTTTACGTTTGATGGGGATAGGCCAAGTTTTATAGAGAAACTAATTTTTTTACAGCCGACGTTTCGATTTTAATTAAATCATCCTCAGGTCTATTTTAAGTAAGTTTTCCGTGTTGTTATAAAAGGTGCGTCAATAAGAGCGCAAGATTTGAATTGCGCGCCAGTTTGGCTATCATGATGTCACAAGATAATGGGAGTTAGTAAATACGGAGCATAACACGATAGAAAAATGCGTCCTGATTGTTAAACATTATTATCACAATGATGAAAGTTTGATTGCAACAATTCGTGAGGTGCGTCCAATTTTTGGTCGAAATAATGTACCTCATTTATCTACTGTGAAAAGAATAATCGAAAAAGGCGAAAGTACTGGTTCAGTTAGTGATGTGAAACACACGACACGAGCTCGTAGAGGTCGTTCAGAACAAAACATCACAGCAGTTCGTCAGAGCGTGGCCAAGAGTCCAGGGACGTCGATTCGTCATCGTGCACAAGAACTGGACGTTGCAACAGCCACTCTTCAACGTATTATCACTAAAGATTTACATCTCCATGCCTACAGAGTCCAATTGACTCAACAACTTCATGCACAGCGAAGAGAGTTCATCAATTGGATCCTAGAACAACAAAAAAGGGAATGCCGATTTTGCGGACAAAATTATTTACAGTGATGAGGCCCATTTTCACCTCGTCGGCTTCGTTAATAGGCAAAACTGCCGCATTTGGGGCTCAGAAAATCCACGAATGATTCATGAGAAAGCAGTACATTCTAGAAATTTTTCCTGAAGACCATACGAAGATTTTTGTGAAACCATGATGAAAAAGGCTAATGAAAATGAAAATTTCATCAAGAATATTTTATTCACTGATGAAACATCTTTTTCCATACATGGCCGGCATAAACCTTCTGTAGTTCGATATTGGTCCAGGGAAAATAAACATTTGAGTGTGCCATTACGTACTCAATATCCACAAAAGTAAATGTTTAGGTCCGCATTTTAGGTGATCATATCGTTGGTCCTATTCGGTAACTTAAATGCCGACAAATATTTAAATATTTTGCAGAGTCAGATTATTCCAGCTGTTCAAGCTCTTGACGTCAACTTCGGGGAGATTTGGTATCAGCAAGACGGCTGTCCTGCTTATAATGCAAGAAGGGTGCAAGAGTTTTTAGACACTTTTCCCGATCGTCTTATAAGTGGAAGAGGCACAATAAAATGGCCACCAAGATTTCCCGACTTGGCGCCTAACGATTTTTTTTTGTGGGGATATGCAAACTCACAAATTTATAAACATGAACACGAGCAAGCGCGTGACTTGCAAGAGTTACGTGCTAAAATTCTTGCCACCCTACAGTGTGTGACTCCTGACATGCTTTTAAATATCAGGAATGAATTTTATCACCGATTAGCGTATTGCCAGGCGCAACAGGGCGACATTTTTGAGCCCCTTATAAAGTAACATTTTGAAAAAAATTGTATTGTTTCATTTTTAATACGTTTTTTTAAATCTATTTCATTTTAGATTTTTTTATTTTATTTTCGTTAGAATATTTCTTAATTTATTTTTATTTAATAGCAGAATACCAGTTTACTTCCATGCCAAATGGCCAAAAATTACTCAAAGAAATGACACTGAGTTTTTTTTGATGCATTTTAAAAACAATTATGCATCAAATAACTAAAAATTCTCGAAATAAACAGGGATACGTAGTTATTTACAGAAATAACAACTATATCCCACAACATCTTGAAATGTACTAACCAAAACACCACCAAAAGTGTCATCGGCTACCAGCTATGATCTGATGAAGGGCGGGCCATCGCAGCGCATGACCTAAAGATGAATAATTTATTGGCTACTACTTGCCCCCTACTAATTACGCATACCAATGGTCCTGCTCGCAACTTCGTGGTTTTTGAGGGGTTTAGGAGAATTTACCCCGAGTGGCCAATTCACTATCTCTGTCTTTGTTTTTCTTATAGTTTTAGATAAAGAGAATATTTGCGAATCGCTAAGCACCTAATATCTGTACAATAAACTGTGCGTAGAAAGAAGGGATATGATGGGGTATGACCTCTTTACTTTACAGACACAACGTACAATGAGGCAACATTGATGCATAATACTCTTTCTGTCCCATGCATGACTGCTATTTTTATCCTTTATGCACACACACAAAGCAGCCATTCTAATTAAACGTTTTCTAATACTGTATATATACTACACTCGATATGCGTTTCACCAACCAAGTTGATATCACCTGGAGATGATTAAAACTATACTAACAATGTATCCTATTTATACATAAGCTATTGTTGAGGTTTGGTAAACCATGACTAACTAACCAATAGAGCGGAATATATGGGATTAGTCCTGTCACTATTCACACTATTTTTATACTTTGTAATTTCCAAGCTCTCAAACGCATCGAGATGGCTAGTATTTGTTACATTCCAAATTAATCTTGAATTGTTACTATCTATTGTATGGTTGTTCTTAAATGCGTGGTGGGCAACAACAAACTTAATAGTTCTACCATATGTGAGATGAGTCATATGCTCCTTGAATCTAGTTTGAATTGATCGTCTAGCTTGTCTAACATTCTTATGATTGCAGTCCTTACAGCTTATTTCATATATCCCTAACTTTTAGTTTATTCATATTTTATTTTTTGGATTGTCTAAAAGTTATTGTAGTTTATTTCCCGATTATTTACTTTTAAACACCCTATTTAAGTTTGTGAATTCGACATATTTGTCAAAATTCGAACATTCGCCTTAGTTTGTATTAGAATATTCGTTTCGGTTTTCACTCCCATATTCGAATTGAACGATTATTCACATTAGTAGAATATTCCAAAAACAAATACTTCAAAATTCAACTTCTCAAATTTTCTTTAAATATTTTCTTAACCTCCTCTCAAGTAACTCCAAGGAAATCTTAGGATTTTGTGTTAGGTAAAGAGAGATGAGGGCCTATAGTTTATTGTGGAGTTTGAACCATGTCTAGTCTGAAACAAATTACTAATAAATTTTCTAACTTGCTCCAGGATGGAATCGAACCATCGACCATTGGTACTGAGTAAATAACATTAAGTGCTTTACCCACTCAGCTGTTCGTATATTCAAATTTTCGTTCTTTAGAGTATTCGAAAACTGAACTTTTTAACTATCTTCAAGAAACTGTTTGGTGACCCTTATTCATATGTGCTGCTTTGTACATTTTTGCGGAGTGGTCAAGAATAAAGAAGAAAACCAGATTTCAAATGGTCGACATTTCGTATTTGTAAGACATCCTCAGGGATCTTTAATTTAGATTTTCAATGTAAATTGATACTTTTAACATCTATAAACACAAACAAGGTATAAACAATTGACAGAAATAGTAACACTGAACAAACAAACAAGAATATTAACTGGACCCATATATCTGAGTTAAGTCAATGTTCCGATATATTTGTTCACTGTTACTGTTCCTGTTAATTGTTTATATCTTGTTTATGGTCAAAGTTATCAATTTAGAAGGAAAACACAAATTAAATAGTCCTGAGGATATCTTTAAATTAAGACAAAACGTCTTATTTTTAGCCACTCTCCAACAATTTACAAAGCAACATTTTTAATTAATTATTGAATAAAAAAATTTCAGGTTAATTATCGAAGTTTAAAGTTAAATCGATACTTTCTTAATAATTAAATAAATTATTTATAATTTGTAGTAAAGATATATCTTATAATTATTTCAGCTTAATTGTAATTAATATTTAAAATTTAATAGTTTAGTATTATTAAACTCGAATTCTCTTTCAGTTTATGTTTACTTAAAAAAAGCGTTTTTTGTACAAAACATTTTATTATGTAAAAGATAACGGCAGACAATGCAAGAAATTATTAGCTTCCATTTCGTTAGTTATTCGGCAGGTTCGGTAATGCGAGTGCGTCTAAAATATCCGTACTTTACTGTAGTTTTAAATTTTGATTAAATTTTATTAAGTTTCTGAAATTATCGTGTTGGAAAATATGTGCTGTCTTAGTTGCTTTAATATTGTGGAAGATGTGTTAATGTTACGACTAAATGGTGATGAAAATAACGAATTACTGCAGGGAACGGGCACTAAAGGTAGCCGATTGATTTAATTAATGAAATTATTTTTATTAATTTTCTTCTGTTTAATAGGTAGGTCCAGAATAAACATGGTGAAAACAACTTAGAAGGTAAGAATTTTTATTTTCTAAGTAGTTTTTGATTATAACGTACATATGTAACAAAAATTTGGCAAAAATTCCACGCTCTGTTCCATGTATTTAACATTATTTTATCAAGTTGCCGAAAATTGCGTGACATCGAGACACATGGGCCGTGGTTTAAGTAATCATGTTATTGCTATTATACAGTGAGCACGTAAAGGTTGGAATAAATCCGTAAAATCGTTACAAAGCAAGTGACAAAAATTCGCTCAGACAAGTCGATTTTTAAATTCATTTCTTAATTTGTTTATCTAAAAAAAAATTTTTACACACTTTTAAAAAGTTATGACGTCATCGGCAATTTTTTTAAATAGCAACCCCCATTTTTAAAAATTTTATTTGAAAGAGCACATTTTTCTGCATATAGTACGCTAAATTCTAAGGCATGTTGCACGACGAAATTATCGAAAAAAAAATCTTAACTACTTTTAACAGTTTAATAAAACAGAAATACAAGAAATAAAAAATCCAGCAAAAAATAATTAAATTAAATGTTCAAATTACGTACCATTTACTTCTTGACAATGCCCAAGCCGAAATTCAAATTCTCGCAAAACGTTAGTAATTGTTTCGGGTCCAATTCTTCCACATTCGTACCTAATTCTGTCTTTTAAGTCCTCAATGTTATTCGGTCTATTAAAATACACTTTGGATTTAAGGTAACCCCATAAAAAATAATCCAATGGAGTTAGGTCCGGAGATCTAGCTGGCCATTCTAATGAACCGCGTCTACCAATCCATCTGTCTGGGAAAATTTCGCTTAAATAATTACGCACTATTACCGAATAATGCGGTGGTGCGCCATCTTGTTGAAACCATATGGAATTCTCCGGTACATTAGAGTTTTCGCCATTTGGGTACAGTGCGGCAAGTCCCGGTATTATGTTTTGTTGGAGCAACTCCAAACATTTTACACCATTTAATGACCCGTCAATAAAAAATGGACCCAAAATTGTAGTCCCAACAATTCCAGCCCACACGTTTACTTTCTGTGGAAACTGGGTATGTACCTCCATCATCCAGTGTGGATTTTCATGTGACCAATATCGACAATTTTGCCTATTTACAGCGCCATTTAAGCAGAAGGTGGCCTCATCAGAGAAAAGTACTCGACTTAAGAAATGTGGATTGGTATTACATCGTTCCATCATGGTTTCGCAAAACTATACTCTGCGGTCGAAATCATCTTCGTTAAGCTCGTGAACTAAAGTTACTTTATATGAGTGCCATTTATTCTTTTTCAAATATTTTAAAACAGTCGACTGACTAATTGACTGCTCTGCTGCGACTATTTTCTGAAATTGCAGGACGACTTCTCGTATAATTATCTCTTACATGACCACACTTTTGGAACTTATTTTCTATTTTGCTAACAGTTGATTGTGTAATCGGTTGATCAGGGTATTTATCGTTAAATAATTCAGTAACCCGAGTTTGTGTTCGGGACATCTCTCTACAACCAATCATCACCAAAATGTCAATTCGCTGTCTCTCACTTAAACGTTCCATTATTAAAACTTTAAATAATGTGACAACTGAATGTGAGTAAACTAACGTGACAGCCAGGTCCGCGTTTCTACGTAAATGAAAAAAAGCGTAAACATGAAAAAAGTGTAAGTCGTAAAACAGTTCCTCTACCAGGGTTCGACCATAAGTAAAACATGTGTGTGCTATTAATGTTAAATTGTTTTTTTCTCGATAATTTCATCATGCAACATGCCTTAGAATTTAACGCACTGTATGCAGAAAAATGTGCTCTTTCACATGAAATTTTTAAAAATGGAGGTTGCCATTTAAAAAAATTGCCGATGACGTCATAACTTTTTAAAAAAAGTATGTAAAAAATTTTTTTTTAAATAAACAAATTAACAAATGAATTTAAAAATCGACGTGTCTGAGCGAATTTTTGTCACTTGCTTTGTAACTATTTTACGGAATTTATTCCAACCTTTACGTGCTCACTGTATGTACTAATTTGCCTAATAATATAATTTTAAGGATATGTAATATGTCTTTTATTATACATATTATTAACGTTCGAAAAATTTGCCAAAACTTTTGTTACATACGATATAGTAAAAAATCATTATATTTGGTATATACAAGCAAATACCATAATGCAAGTAAGCTAGGCGTCCACGAATAAGACGTTGATATTATCCATATTTGCCCTTCGTCAAAAAGGAAAAGGGAATTTCAAAGGTTTTACGTACCAATTAGGTAAAAAACATGTTGTTATAAATAGCTTTTTTTTAGAGTTATGTCGTGTACTTAAATATTACATTAGCACCAATCACAAAGGATATTCCTATATTCCTATAAAAAAAAACAATAGGTGTAGTTTCTTGTCATTAATTGTCATACTAGATCTTTTGTTCCATATCTAAATAATATTTATTTAATTACATAATAAATGGTTTAAGTTCTAAAAAAGGTCTTATTCCTTCACAAATTATATTTGTTGTACAATTAATTTCGGTGTCATCTTTAAATGCACTACAATAAGAAATTACTGGTAAAAACAAAAAATAACAATTTTTTATAAAAATAAAAGTGTTTTTGTAAAACGACAATAAATTATTTTACATAAATATTTTTGTTATATAGAGGGTTTTAGAATTAACTGGACAAACTTTAAATTTGAATTCAGGACCTCAAAATAAGATAAAAGTACTCTATGGTGGTATGCACAGAAACACTACGTTTAAAAGTTACGCCCCTCCAAAGATGGAGACTAAAATTAGGTTTTTAATTTTTTCTCAAATTTGGAAAAGATAAAAAATGAATTATGGTGGAGATTTTCTACTAGAAGGAATGCTTCTGAAGATATTTTTTTCAATCATCCCTTATCGGTAAAATGGGTGAAATCAACTACCCCATTTAATTTTTTTGATGTGATTTAAATTTACTGGCTAATTTTATTTTTAGCATTTTTAACCGATTATAAATGCAATAAAGCATTACCTTTATATGTATATATCCAGGTTTGATATCATATTAAAGGTCAGACCAAGATCGATGTTAGTGGATTATATCAGAGTTAAACTTTGTTTGTCGTTTTTGTCCAGATTTTTTTACCAGCTAAAAATCCGTCAAAAATGCTAAAAATGCTAATTATTTAGCCGGTAAATTTCCATTTTTTTAAAGAACCGAATTTTGTCATATAAAAATGTTATTTGGAAAACTTGTTTATTTAGAAACTCTTTTGTTTCTTTTATATCTTTCATTGAACTGACAATAAGCTTTTGAATAAAGAAATAAAATAATTTCGATTCACATAAATTTGCAATGCAATTTCCCAAAAAACCGTGTGGATCGAGAATATTTTATTTTTTTTATTCAAAAACTATCAGTTCGATGAAAAAATTGTTTCTAAATTAATCAAGGTTTCCAAGCCACATGATAAAAATCAGGCCCGTTAAAAAAGTTCGATTAATAAAATAAAATGGAGGTTGTTGATTCTACTCATTTTACCGATAAGGGATGATTGAACAATATCCTTTAGGAACGCCCCTATTAGTAGAAAATGTCTACTAAAGTTAGTTTTTTCCGAATTTGAGAAAAAATTTATAAACCTAATTTTAACCTCTTTTTTTGGAGGGGCGTAACTCTTTAATGAAGCGTTTCCGAATATACCGAACCTTTTTTTGGATTTTAAGTTTGCCTAGTTAATCCTGAAACACTCTGTGTACAGAACTATAATGTTCTTTTTACCAATGATGTCTCATAGTACCATCTGAAGATTGACCCCGAAACTAGTTACACACCAAATATAATTTATGAGAGTATAAAAAAGACAACTTAACCATTGAAAATAACTTCTAATATGGGTCAAATAGTAGAGAATTTAATTACATATAAATAAAATA